CTTGAAGCATCTAGTGATTTGTGTTCCTTTGTGTATTTTCAGCAAAACACATCATCAGTCTTGATGGCAAGAAAGGACTTTTCAAGGGCTTGACCCCCCGTCTGTGTGCCGGAGCTTTGGGCACTGTAGTGCATAGTAAAGTCTTGCAGGTGATTTTATTTCTACTCTACCTGAATAATTTCAGAAATGTCTAAATGTTGCTGCATATTTTTTTGAGGCTGTATTTAAGATGTTGGATCAGCATGCGGCTCTTGTGGGAAGTAGTGGCCTTTCACATTTGTACAGACAGGACTGCAGGTGACCGTAACAATATTATATGACCCTGGGGGCAGTGAAATTAAAGTCCATAGCATCTAGTTATATCACTGCTTCCACACTCCACCAATAATACAACCACCGTTAAATGAGTGTTCATAGATGAGGAGATCTCTCCCTAGAATGGTGGCCCGAGAGACCTCCGCCCATTGGGCCAAAAATAAAAAATGGTCTAAAAGATTGGGGGCTAGATCTGGCCTTTTTGTGTCCACCCATGTGAAATCTGATGAAAATAAATGCCTGTAAAGGTGCCCATACACTGCACGATTATCGTACGATAATCATATGCGATCGTTTTTTCGTACGATAATCGAGCAGTGTGAACGGAGACGTGCGACCGTTTCTACTGTACGGTCGCACGTCTTCTGTCGAACCAGCATGTTCGAAAACCAGCCGGGAATCGTACGATTCTCGGCTGGATAGAACGGTGCTCGGAAGACAAATGCTGAACGGGCCGTTCAGCATTGCGGTCATCGGAAGCCCGCCCATCAGGGGGGCGGGCTTGCGATGATCGAGAGTGCGATCTGCCTGTCCAAGATAGGCAGATCGTACGTTTTTTTAATCCCTTTACAACCATCGCAAGACTAAAGTCTTGCGATGGTTGTAGAGTGTATGGCCACCTTAAGAAGCATTTCCTCCCAGCCACTATTCCAATTCAGATCTGCCTTGGAAGCTTGATTAGCATCTCACTGTATACTTTGATTTGCAGCTTAGACTTGCTCTTTAACCCCTTGCTGCCAGTGATCATATGTTCAGGAGACCTCCTTCCCCATATGATTGTGTTCCTAGTCAAGGGACACTAAACTCATGAGTTCAATCCTAAAACCCTAGTTAGGACAAGTGGTGTTCAAATGTACTTTACAAGTGATAATGGGATCTGCCAGCAAGTACAGGGGGTTAATTATTGTACACATTACCCTCCCCACCCTCCTTAGTTTCCAGAGGAAATTCAGTACAGATAAAAACTTTTCTTTGAGAACTGCAAGCAGTAACTTGATATTTTCCCAGTTATAGTTACATAGTTACATAGTATTTGAGGTTGAATAAAGACATTAGTCCATCAAGTCCAACCTATTAGGATCTCATTCTAGGAGTACCTGTACCCCTGTATATTACGGTCCCTTAAGAAATCGTCCAAAAGTTTCTTGAACAATTCCACATTCTTTGCTGAAATCACTGTCTGTGGCAGTGAGTTCCAGACCCTAACTGATCTTACTGTGAAGAACCCCCTTCGCCCCTTGTGCTGGAATTTTTTTTCCACCAATTTTAGGTGGTGGCCTCTAGTTTTTGTAATGGAGTTAATTTTAAACAGTTTATCGCTAATGTTGCTGCCACCATTGAACATTTTGTACATGGAGATCATATCCCCCCTTAATCTCCTCACCTCCAATGTGAACATGTTTAAATTTAGTAGCCTTGTCTCGTAGCTCTGGTCCTCCATACCCCTAATTAGTTTGGTTGCCCTCCGCTGGACTTTTTCCAACTCAAGGACATCTTTTCTTAGTACTGGTGACCAGAACTGGACCGCGTACTCCAGATGAGGTCGAACCAATGATCTATAATCTATAGTTATGCTATGTGAAAACAAATATCAAATCAGCGTTATCCCAATTTGGATGCAAAAGTGGAAATATATTTTAAGATTCCTTAGAGGGCCATCGGGGGCAAGCTTCTGGTACATGTGATCACTGTGATTGGCTGTCACAGTGGTCCCGTGATTAGATGGTCATCCCACCGGCTCCCGATCACAATTGGTGACCAGGAGCTGCCATAATGACAACTGAGAGGCAAAGTGAATTGCAGTGTAGTGTGATGCTTTGGTCAATGTTCTGCCAGGAAATCTTGGGTCCTGACATTCATGTGGATGTTACTTTGACACGTCCCACCGACCTAAACATGTTGCTGATGAAGTACACCCCTTCTTGGAAACGGTATTCCCTGATGGCAGTGACCTCTTTCAGCAAGATAATGCGCCCTGTCACACTGCGAAAATGGTTCCACAATGGTTTGAGGAACACTACAAGGCGTTTGAGGTGTTGACTTGGCCTCTGGCATCTGTGGGATGTGCTGGAAAAACCAGTCCGATCCATGGAGGCCCCACCTCGCAAATTACAGGACTTAAAGATCTGCTATTGGTGGCTTGGTGCCAGATACCACAGCACACCTTCAGAGGTCTAGTGGAGTCCATTCCTGGATGAGTCAGGGCTGTTTTGGAACCTACTCAATATTAGGCAGGTGGTCAGAATGCTATGGCTGATTGGTGTATGCTGTGGCTGGGTGGGCCCACCTGCCATTGCCCCGCATACATGTGTT